TACTAGTAGGCTGGAGCGAATGCTGCCAAGGGATTCGGCGATTAAATTCCAGTAAGTGCGGAAACAGTAAACTCGTTACAGTCTTCTTCAAACTGCGGCAGATCCATGTTGGGTATGGTTCACAGGCCCATACGAACAGTCTCATGGTCGTTCAACAACTGCCACTTGCTTGACACTAGTAAGTGGAAATATACACACAAAAGAAAGCGTGTTACTGAGTTATCCCATCTTTGAGCGCTTGGCGAAAAATTGCTGTTGCCTTGACGCTTACATGTAGACCAGCAGCAAAGCATGTTTCCTCATTGGCCACAATTAGGGTTCGTGTGAGTTGTTCCGCTATCGCGTCCCCCTAAAGCAATAACGATAGTTATATCAACCGCATTTCCAAGGAAACAGGTTGTACCTTTGGAGCCCGCTGCCCCACTTTCCCCTGGACTAATTTTTCTCGGTTTCCATTTCGCGCACACATGTTTCGAATAACACGCAGTCCAGCTGTAGACACATTTTCCGTACATATTATTGTCATACTCCGTTAGACGAAGGACGATACTTCATTTCTTACTTAGTGGGGCCCTATTACAGAGGCGGATATGCTGTCCAGTCCAAGTTGCCTCTATGTGCACTCCTCTTCACATTAGCTAGTTCCATACTCTGTGTACCTGAATATCTAAAAGTGCCAGGGAGTTGTTACATTCTATTTCTGCAGTAAACAACATTCTACTAGGTGCAAAGCTGACGTGACTTAGAAGACCATCAACATACACTTTGTTATATGCAACACAATATATCACCTAGAAATTGGCTCTATAATACAAAAAGCTCTTGATGGTTTCATTAAACTGGTTTCCCTCAGTCTGCTCCTAAAGACGCCTGCAAGCAAAGGTCATACTAGCGTACGCGTTGCCACCCTGTCCATTTGGCGGTACAGTTTGGTTAACTTGGAACTGAATGGTTTTGGTACACTTCAGTAATAGTCGTCTCAATCAATCTTGTAGCATACCGCTGTCAATGTGATACAACTGTGCATCATGTCACACCGAAACGGTTGCGTAGTTAATGTGCGCCTTGCTCTCCCGGAGTTGATCAGACCCCACTTCATCGAGCACTGTGATCATGCACTCATTCAAATTGGATTAACTTCCCACATTCAGTACACAGCTTTCTACATAATAGTTTCTTCCAGCTAGTGAGTCCTGCAAACCCCAACTGTTTTAGCAGAATTAAGTTCACTCGGGTAGACTCAACCAGTTATGTGAATTAAAAACGGTAAATCCACTCTAAATTCAGGACGAATGACGACAAATGGGACAATCGCATAAGCCATATATAAAACTGGTGAACAGGTCCAATAGGTGAACATGGTGAAACCCACTATGAAAACTCACAAGTTGTGAAAGATCTAGCATACGCTTGTGTTTGGCAATGGACAATTTGTCATGTGAGGTGGTGCATGGAAATTAGTACACGGTCAACTCGGCATTTAATATCTGCCAGCAGGATAGTATAGAGGACAGATTCCGGGAAGGCATCCAACGCCTGGGGAACAATACGGAAACGAAATTCAGACGGCATTCCAAACGACTCTGCTGCTCTGCCAACTTCAGATGTTGACCTCTCAAATCGCTTTTCTCTCAGTGCGGATGCCAGATGAAAGTCGATCTCGACTGTGGCAAATGGGAGCGATAAACAACCACCACCAAGCAAACACCGCAGTCACATAAACATAGACAAAACAAAGGGAATCTCAAATCATATTGACAACATATTCCATTGTCCCATATTAGAGGTCACTGCGGAGGTCACTGCGGAGGTCACTGCAACCCCACCAAATTTCCCGGGTCGGTCGCATGTACCAAGAAACAAACCTGACGACAAGAACTCGGTGTCACTCATGACGAAGCTCAACCATAGACGTTATAACAAGAAGGTCGGAGGTCTTTTGTTTCTGAAGGAGTAGCAGACCAGGAAGTTGCTGAGTAGACTCTGAGTATTAGTGTTTATACACAATTTCTAGGATCTCAGAAACGCAAGAAAATGTGTATATGGACGTGGTGAATTTATGGCGACCGATGTGAGGCCACTTCGTAGTCGATTTTTGGGTAGTTTACTGAATCTCCATATGAGTCATATCCGTTATTAATCTCCCCTGCATATGTGGTGTGCAGTCCAGCAGTAGCCCTCTCATCGGCTGTTGGTCTGAGCATATAGCCTTCTGATTCGTTATTGTGTTTACAAGGAGTTCCGGGTGGTATTCTTCCTTCGGGGACATCCGGTGGCTGCGGTTCTCTAATTGCTCTTTTACTGTAGTTCCGTAGTAACTTTGTCGCGCAATTTATGCCGGCTACGCATTAAATCCACCGCCATATTTTGGGATTGAATCGCAATGCTCAATATTTGCTGGCCACTGTCGCTGTAGTGAAGCGACACGGGTAGCCTTGCAATTGATTGAGGTATGACTTCACCGACAGTGAGAGCTTCACGGATGCAGCACCGTGCATCGTATGTCATAGGCACGGGCTTCCTCGCATCTATCTGTTGGGAACTGGGACTCGCCACGAACGAAAATGGTTTTCTTGTTACTGCCTGTGTGGTGGTCATCTGAATTGCAGTTTTCTTGTTGTCGCTCACTCCATGGAGAATCCGGAAAATGTGGATGCCACTGCGTTCATTTTTTGTAGGTGGCGTGCTAACAAAAGTACTACGATGTCCTTTGTGGATCCAATTGTTTGCCGAATAAGTCGAGTCTTACCGTTGTGTATCCAATTTTGATGTCCAGTGATGGATCCTAATCATTCAGCCCCACCAGAACATCGAGCCAATCACAAAGGAAATTCCACTTGTTCAGATCGTCCTACTTTTTACCCCGTAAGGAGTTTACCTCTAACGTAGGAACATTGGTGCATATGTTTTAGGACACCATAGATCCTCCTAATCTTCGGTGATGTGGAAGACGCGACATTCAGTGGACTGACAACGCCTCCAGTTTGTACCTTGTTCTTATCACATGCGGCTTTAATGCGTTAGCCTGCTTGACTGAAATTTGTATACATCGAGCAACAACTGTTGCTAAAGTGGATTGGAGTTTAGAGGTTCTCGATTTCTATCGGTCAATTGTAAACGTAGTCTTTTTCTTGGTTGCTGCAGTCGATACCGTGAACAAGAGTGCATGGACTCTAGAGCTGCGCACGCTTCGATCACTCGCCACAACGGGCCAGGTCTGGGTACCCAAGATTTCCAGTACTTATATACCATGAGAATACCTGGCTCTTTTCCTTGGTTTCTTGGTGGTGGTTAGTAGAGTTACATCGGGTGCAACCGTTGCCGTCGTCACCACTAGAGAGGCAATTTTACCTGCTCAGTTTCGGCCATTAGATTCTCGTACTTTTGTGATAAAACTAGTACACATTTTACAAGGGGAATCTTCGTGCACTCAGAACAGAATCCGAGTGAGCCAACTATGCTGTTATACAGTTATTTCAGTTCGAGTCACTCTAGCGTGTTTCGGATGGCAAGGCTGGTTTCAGTGAGAACACGCTACTCTTATTTTTGCTCTCCAGCATGTGCATTTGTGACACAGAAGCCATCCATGAATTCACAGTTACACCATTACACATGTGCTTTTGTGATCGGACATCCGCCACCAAAGGAACTAAGTTAGCATACTTCCTTCTGTTGCCCGTTCACAACTCTGACATTAGAGTGATACAACCAAGCTGCAGGTATGCCATAAAAGGATGTAAAAGCGTTGTCAAAGATGCAGTCGCGTGTTCTCATCTATGCCTTTTACAAGGGAAAGCAGAGCTAAAATTTCCACCTATGGTGTCACACAGCCTATTTTTTGGATTCAACTCGTTGGATGAATACAGGTATCGTTCACATAAGCAAGCTGAAAAGCATCAAGTTAGCTGAACGGCAATCGAGGAACGCTCTGAATTTCTTCACACGTGTGCACCAGACATGGAGTCTTCCCCACGATTTGTTTTAACTCCTGTAACCGACGTGAAGCATTCATGTGTTTGACATAAATTTTAACCAGCAAACTTTATACTGTGGTAGTAGCTCAGTTGCATATGAGAACACAGTGACAGCCCACAATGACTTAAAGATCTCTCCACTAGCCGCTCTTTCGAGATCTCTCTCACTACGAAATTCATGAAACTTTAGACTCCTAGATGGGCAGTGTGTCGTACTGACTTTTTCAAGCAATTCCGTTATGCTCGATTGTTTCCTCTTGTACGCTGGATGGTGTGTTAGTCATATCGCCTTATATGCAATAGTGCTTTGTATAATGTGACGATCACTTTTTGGTGTGGCCGACAATTATGCTACCAGGTAAGTTTGGAATTCTTCTGTCCTCAATCCTAAAGGCTGGTACTTGTACGACTGCCATTGATGTGGTGGCCAGGAGGATATCGGTAAGCGCCCGTTTAGAAACACTGGTAGGTGGATGACAGAAGCCACTACACCTAAATAATATGCTTTAGGGCGTGAACACACCGCTTGGTACTAACAGATAGTAACAGTGTTCGCGTTTCGGTACAAGATATCGTAAAAAGTACTATAAGCACAGTTTCTACAAGTGCTAGTGTATCCGCATCTCAAACTCCTGGTGAGTTGAAAAGCAATAATCATCCAACCAGTTTTAACATAACTGTTGTTGACACACTTTTACCAAGTCACAAGAAAAAACACCAAATCGCATAATTTTGGTTCTCCACTGAAATCGCGAATTATGTCATTAACTGTGGATTGAGTTCACCTAGCCAGTGGGATGCAGACGAATGGTATAACCATTGTTATTGTCCTTCACAAACGCTCGGAAGACAGACTGTAGATTACAAAGTATGAGGGGTATTTTAAGAGACAGTTAGATAAACGGATCTACTGAAATTTACGATATGCCGTGTCGTCAAGAATATCTATACATCACTGTGGTGGTTGGCAACATTAATAGTTTAATACTAAAAAGGAAAACCAAGGCATAAGCACGAATAACATACCACAATGGTGAAGGAACTTCAGACAGGTTCGGTGACAGAGGTATTGGTTTAGGGGACTGAAGCTGCATCCTTTGTCACAAGCTTCTTGTTCGTCGTCACAAGCACCAACTGAAAAAACGAAATATCACAATACCCGGCAAACTTAGAACGCGTTTAAAGGGAATGCATCACATATAAATATAGTCTTAAAGAATTAGTATCAATATCGCCATAGTTGTAATATTTCAACAAAAATGACCATGTGCGAACCCCGTTATACCACAATCGGTAACCCGTCGGGCTGTAAATCGCCTAGGATCTTATAACAGCACATACGCAACAAAGATATCGAGTAGTCACTTGTAGTCTATGCATTCGTGATTCAAGTTGCAGTTCATAAACAAAAAAGGGAATAACACCCAAATTTTCCATGATACATTACTTAATTTTAGCAAAGTTATTAAGCAACAAATTCCCTTCAGCAGTTTGTAATGTACAGAAAGAAGACGAGATTTGGTAGACTCAAGCAGTTCCTGTAACAAATGATGGATGTGACCAAAAAAGAAAAAATCAAACTTGGGGATCAAGATCTGCTAGCAGACCCACAAGTTTGCTTTCAGCGGCCTCCAGAGGACTTCAGTTTGCTTTTACGCAGCAGCGTAAGGACCGAACACGGGTACCGTGGTCGGAGAACATATTCCAAGAAGGAAATGTCCACCTGTGCGCGCACAATCTTACACTTTAGGCTTACAATACGATGAGGCAGCCTAAAGATTGAAGCGGTCCACTGGCCTATCTTGATCCCCAAGTTTGTTTCTTCTTTTTTGGTCACATCCACCATTTGCTACACTAACTACCTGCATCTATCAAATGTCGTCTTTTGTTGTACTTTTCAAATTGCTGAAGGGAATTAATTGCTTTCATGTTTTCAAATGACGTATTCCTGCTGAAACCGTCAGGCTGCTTCATCCTATTGTCAGCCTAAGGTGCAAGATTGTATGCGCACGGGTGGAAATTTCTTTCTTCTAGGAATGTATTCTCCGATCTCGGTACCCGCGTTCGGTCATTAGGCTGTTGCGTAAAAACAAACTAAATCCATCTGGGGCTAACCTAAGACGCGTTATATCTGATCGTCTGGAGGCCGCTGGAAGCAAAATTGTGGGTCTGCTGGCCCACCTTGGTCCCCAAGTTTGTTTCTTCTTTTTCGGTCAAATCCACCATTTGCTAGACGAAATGCTTGTATCTAGCAAATGTCGTCCTCTTGTTCATACTTTTCAAAGTTACTAAGCGGCCTGGTGCATTCTTCGAGAGTTACGCGGTGACAACTGACCATGGATACAAAAGTGTTTACATAGCAGCAACTCATTCGATCGTTTATGCGTGCACTTTACAGTCCCTTACAGGCTCGACGCATACGAATTCGGAATACTGGTTCCGTTTGCGGCATCAGCTCGCCTCCAGTTTGATTATGCCATAACTCCGCATTAGAGACACACGTGGCCAGAGACTGCAAAATTGATGTCGTTCGGAGTCCTCGAATCAAGCAAATGCTGGAATAAGGTCCGTAGGTGCTGACATTCTGCTCCAGTTCAGCTGGAAGATGGTTATACACCTAAAACAATCAGGAAACGCCTTTAGCTAGTTAAAACTGAAATGTCATGAGATACAATCTCGGGATGACGAGGGAACTCAATCCGTCAAGGCAATGAAGTGAAATGGACAAATTGAACACTCGTTCAATCCCTTTGGCCAACACTAAGGCACATAAGTAAAAAAACAGCCTACATTTTACCATGCCAAACTTGAGTTGCACATGATTAACTTTGTTCCTGTGGGTTAACATGTAGAGCAGGAAAAAGGATTACTATCGCTTAATCAAGTAGATTCAAAAAACCATGGAATCATTTTAAACGGGTATGAAATTTACCATCTGGTAGATTTCATATGCGTGATTGCTGGATTTTCGGTAGATCACAACGTACTGGAGGCCGCCTTTCCTCCACGACGAGTGACAGTTGAAGCGAGTAACTGCGGGGAGGAAACAAAGTAGTCGTTACCACACATAGGCTAGTTTATGCTTAGCTCATCTTAGCGTCCATTTGCTATTGTTTACCAGAATGGTACAACATACGAAGGTTATTATTTTCAAAATCAACGCTTTACATCAACTCCGATAGTGTTTAGTCCTCAAAAGTACAGCGTGACACACAAAAAGAGCTCGCTTCTATTTCCCCACGTCATTCCGACAAAACCAATTATAAACGGACGTTATGGTACCCTATAAATATAAGTAAACCACAATGTTTTTGTAGTACTAGGGGTCTGAAGGGACCTCAGGTGACGGACGTTTCGCACCAACATTGCTCTAGTTAAGGCCAAGCGAGATTTCGCAGTACACGGAAAAGGCAGGATCACTACCAAGCGTTAGGATACAGTGGATCGCTGATTCGTCAAAAATTCCAGGGTACGTATAACGTCTTGTAATTTCTTTCTATTTGCAGAAGTTGATAGGCCAGTGCAGTTTTGGTTTACACCTGGAATTTTACCTTTCCATAGACTGGGGGGAACGGTTCATATGTTGACTACAGTCAGACAAGAAATGATGCTTAGTCCCTAAAATTTATGACCGTTTTTGAATTTTTGCCAACATATTGCATAATATTAGCAGGGAGATAAATAATAAACGGTGATCTTTATCATGGGTAGTAATGAAAATGCTTGACAAAGCCCATACGCTATCTGGGGTGAAAAATAACAAAACTTCCACGATAAGTGAACCGTGCTTTTAAGTGTCTAACGATTGTGAAATGTTAATGGAAAGTGTGCACGCCGACCAAAATGGAGAGCACTATATAAAAATAAAAATAAAGCCCTCACTCATGTGCCGTTTCATCGGACCGATGTGATGAGTAAATACAGTTTGACAACCTCATAACGATATCCCACAGTAGCAGGTCTTAGTTAACAAAGTGCATTAAGCAAAGCTGAACATAACGATTGATGGTGTTACGATGCTATCCTGTCATTAATGTTGATATGGCATTATATAAATGCATGTGTCATCGATACGTCCTTTACCGTGGTTTGGGGAAGAAATAATTTATGTAAGGAAGATGTACCACCAAGGCTGGCACACACGAAGTGAAAAGTAATTCCGGCGACATTCCAACCAGCCATACTGAGTGGGCAACTTTTGCTGGGAACTTCTCAGAGTAGTAGTGTAGCTCAGTTTCGGAAGGTCACGGCAGGCGTGAGTATGATCCTCAGATTCTGACATGCCATTACCTACTGGACACGCAAACATTGATATTGTCCATTGTAGACACAAAGGGCTATCAGCCTGAGTTGGTAAAGGAGATCAGACGAACTTTTTACGTTCTTTGCGGCATTTCAAGCGCTGCAAGGTCGTACTTGTGCTAGGGCTACAAAGCGTTAATGGCGTATTCCTAATGCGGCCTAATATAGTCGTTAAACATCGGGGAGATGATTGAAGGATCCAAACGTCTGAACGTTCTCCGCAATAAACCAAGTATTATTCGGCTTTTTGGTTTCTTTCTTAACCTGACGCAAACATCTACGATCATCTTGTACCATTAGTTTCAGGTCGCATTCAGTAAAAGCCCACTGCAAAAGTTGATACCACAGCCGGTACTCGCAATGAATTGACGGCATATGTTCAATGTCATGAACTTGGCGGCGTTGAAATGAAGCGGATTCTGAATCAACTGTTCGTACACCATATAGGATCGTCTTGGAGTGCAAGGTTGTCACCTATTGTTTTGATGGCTTCCCGTCATCAAAGAAAAGTAAAAAATTGGAAGTGATCCATCTCGCCAGATCGTTTACGTAAATCAGGAATAAAGGTGGACAAACTACTGAGCCCTGGGGCACTCTAAACTGAACTTCCATAGAGTCAGCGACGATGCGACGAACTTTCACAGTCAGATGTCTTTGAAGTAGAGCGCAACCTAACGAAACGATTACAAGTCACCAATTCCACAGCTATGATGCTAGTGAAAGATCACGATAGTTCAGGCGGTTGAGTAACTTTGAGAAGTCCAGATAAACTGCATCACACCGCCGTCGACGGTTCCAGTCCAACTGGAGTGATCAAGTAGCAAACTTGTGTCGCAAGGCCGCTTCTGGCGGAATTCATGTTGTTTTGGTGTTATGGCGGTGCGTCCCCCAAGTAACTCATGACCGATTCCGCTATAACGACGACCATGGTCAATGGTATATTGCGGGAAAAGGTCAAAGTTTGACCCGATGCGCCGGATGATAGGTTTGTGGTAAGCAAAATGAGGGCAACAAATAGCAAAAAGTAATAATCAATCTTCACGTATTGCTAACTTGCCGGTCACAGTGTTCCCGTCTGGGCAGCCTACACTTCGTTTTACTATCCAAGACCTCCGTCTGTAGTGTCCAGGCAAAAATGGTGGTGCCTTGATGTATATTTGATTTTTTGTTGTTTGTGCTGGTCGTTTGGGTTACGTGATATGGCATGTTCCGTCCAGTGCCCCCTCGACCGAAGCTCTGAACACGGCTAAATTGGGGACTGAAATAACAGCTTCGAAGTGGGTATTTTATGTGTGGCGAACAGAGAGCTAGAAGACATTTATTTGACACGCCAACCGGCTATGGTGTTCTGTCAGTTTGAGGTGAGGACCTATTAGTCTGTTGTTGTGACTGAGCTTAAAAACCTGATGGCACGAGTGCTTTGGGTTGTTAAGAAGTTGATAAATCATGCGTAGGTTACCGCGCAAATGCTGATAGCGTCCTCCGAGATTGCCTATAAATCTGAGGCGCTGTTCGTACGACATGTGGCGCAGTGCCTTGACATCTTTGGCCCCGCGCGATGTTGCGGAATCTCCAGAGCAGTGGGATCCTGCTTCCATCATAGATGCCATGCTTGAACTGCATATTCATCATTAGAGCACATGTAATCAGAAAGTAATTGGCGGAAAAGATATGGTTCGTAGTATACGAAAGCTCTCCGTAGAAGCCCCAGAATTTGTATCTCCTTCTTCGACGCATTTTTGGATGGCTCCGATCAAGCAGAGCTTTTATGGATCAGCACGCCGAGATCCTTTTCGTGAGAACAACGGTACGGATCCTGGTTCCCTAGTTAATAACGGTGGGCCATTCGGTGTCGTAAACGGAGCACACGACATTTAGCTACACTGAAGAGAAGGCAATTTTGGCCTGACCAACCATAGATCTTGTCGAGGTCATTTTGGAGCTGGATATGGTCTACTGGGACTCTGAGCGCTAGCCAAACTGTAATGTCATGGACGTAGAGTAAACGGTTTGACCTGATTTGGCTCACTAGATAGTTAATGAAGACCAAGAATATACGGGGTCTCATTACCGAATTCTGTTGCATATCTCATTCGATGTGAATTGAGTCCGAGATAGATTCACGAACTCTCACCTGCACATGCTTGTGCGGGAGAAAATTGCAGATCCACGTTTAGGGAGGGTCCGCAATGTCACACCCTTGTAGTTTAGCGCGATGGACACAATGGTGTTAGGCGGATCTCTATTTGACATACACTTTTGTGAACAACCATTGTTTCCGTTTTTATTCTTCTTAACCTCTAGCACTTGACAATTGTTTAACAGTTCCACTTCGTAAATTCGATCAGCAAACCCACGTGGTTATCAATGGACATCCACCTTACGTGTCATTTTCGGCAGCATTAATTCCATAAACACACTGGTTGGTTTTTCCTAACATAAATTTTTACTTGTTTAGGTTAAGGGAATTTTGAGTTGATATCCATTTTTGTAGTAGTTCCTACTTTGCAGCTTTGCGTTTTTTCCTATTGTCTGTTCTGTGGCCCTTTTTTAAACACTTCCTTATGATGATTGGCCAACACCAGTTGTGTGGTGAATGGATATTCAACTTAGGGTTTGCGTCCCATGATGCCACTTACAAGGCCATGCCTGATTTGTTATTCATTCCGCGATTGCTTATTCGCTTGTCGCTATCAGCGTCTTCTTTCTGTTAGGTCAGCTCAAGTATATCTCAGTAGTTTCCGTAAAAACCGTTTAAAAATATCTTAGTCCGTGTGATTTAATGCACACAAGTCTTCTCCGACTCGTCTTTGGAGGTCTTCTTGCGGTCGTGGGATGTAAGTTTTAGTTGCGGTACAACAAACGATCCAACCAGTTGAATGCCTTAGAGAAGTCAAGGTGAGCCACATCAACTCTTGCATCAACATCCAGCCTTTCGGTCCAGCTTTCTCATGCCAACAATAGGTGGACAATGTTTGACCAATTTTGGTTGGGACCGTGTTGCTGCTGAGCTTTGTGACCAAAACCGTCCAGGTACGATGCGTGTGTCGAAGGTGAGAAGAGTCACTGTTTGATATACGGCTGAGTCGGAAGGACTAAGCCCTTTGTAACGCATATTTACTATCCCGCGTTTCCACAGTGCAGGAATGAGTTTGTCGTAGAGCCAGCGTTGGAACAACCGCACAAAGGGTCCAACCACAACATTAGCTACCAAAACAATGGCCTTTGGACGGATGTCGTCAATGCCGAGGCAGTCGTGTAGGCGCAGTTATGACAGGCTTTTCATCACGGTGTCTGCCATAAAAGTTATTTGAGTGAGTACTGGTCGAGGCGGCAAACAGTCCAGAGGTCCAGATGTCGACCAGAGACAATAAAAGGTTGTTGCATATTGTTGTTGCAGAGCATTCGGCGCTTTTTTCGCAGTCCGAATTAGACCACAAATTGTTTGAAGAGGGGGAAATTCACTTCTCACCTTGCGACGACCATTCATATGCTTCTACATAAGCTAATGATTTTGAGCAACTCGCTCAGCTAAAGCTTGTCGATACGCTAAGTCTCCTCGCGTACTATAGTTTGATACAGTGGTTACGGTGGACAACATAAGCATTCCAGGTACTGCGACTCGGATCGATTTTGTGAGAAAACCTCGCCGCGTCACGCAGCATATTGCATTGACGTGTCCTGATTCGTACAAACAACGCCAAGTTTCTCGAACAGATAGCATTTATTTC